CTGCTATGTCCCCCCGTTTACTATTATCTCCTCAGTTGGGTCTAATCTGTTTAAAACTCATCCATTGGATTCCTAACCTTAATATTGTACTTTTTCCGTTCTAAAATGTTGGTGTTATTCTTTTCGCAAATCTGCTATCACTTTTTATACTTTCCAATTCCCAGCCAAAATGGCAAGCTTGACTTTTACTTCTTTAAACATAGTAAAAGTAGTTGTGTTAAGGTGTTCCTGCTATTTGCAATATCTGCAGTCTCAATGGGCCTGTTTCTGTTGTCCACTGTCTCTGCAGATTCTTGCTTATGGAGTCTTGTCCCTTCTTATATTTGGTTAACTTTGCTTACATTTTGGATGGTATTTGAAAAACTATTTGTAAAAATAAATTGAGGTTTAGGCTGATGCAACTTTCCTCCAGAAAAAGACTTTTCATGGTATCTTTAAGGTACCAGAGAGTGGAGAGGGCACTATCAGACAAGAACTCTTTTAATTCAAGTTTGAAACTTTAAGTTTCCCAGGACACCTAACATGAAGTGGAGTGAAAAAGTCTATTGTGGCCTGGTTTATTTTATTGTATTGTATTTTTTTAGAGGCAGAGTCTCAGTTTGTTGCCCTCGGTAGAGTACTATGGTGTCACAGCTCACAGCAACCTCCAGCTCTTGGGCTTAGGCTATTCTCTTGCCTCAACCTCCTGAGTAGCTGGGACTACAGGTGCCCGCCACCACCCTCAGCTACTTTTTTTTATTGTAGTTTGACTGGGGCCGGGTTTGAATCTGCCACCCTCGGTATATGGGGCCAGCGCCCTACCCACTGAGCCCCAGGCGCCACCCAGTGTGGCCTGGTTTATTTCCCAATGTACAGCCCTTTGGGATAGTCCCAGTCTAATGTGATTAACAGTATACCAAATCCCATTCCCCACACTTAGAGGGCGCTAGACACCTGGTGCTTCCTCTTTAGCTACTGCTGAATCTTAGTAAATGCTCCCAGAGGACAAAAGTTCCCTGGGACAAAAGCACCTCTCACACTGAGCTCCTCTTTCTGGGCTCCTAACTACTTGCAGACCTCGGCGTGGGAACCCCTCATGCTCTTGTTAGCTCTTCACTGCTTTTTGTTTTTTCTTAATAAACTTTGCATTTTGGAATAATTTTAGAATTACAAAAGAGTTGCAGAGATGGTACAGAGGATCCCTGAATACTCTTCGCTCTGTTTCCTGTAATGTTCACATCCTACATAACCATGCTACATCAGTCAAAACTAAGAAATTAACATCGGTACATTGCTATTCATTAAACACCGAACTTTATTAATATTTCACTACCTTTTCCACTAATATACTTTCTCTGTTCTGTGATTCAATACAAGATACTACACTGCAGTTAGCCTTCAATGGTTTTGAGTTTTTTTGTCTTTTTGTTTTTAGAGACAGTCTCACTCTGTGGCCCTTGGTAGAATGCCGTGGTGTCACAGCTCACAGCAACCTCCAGCTCTTGGTCTTAGGCGATTCTTTTGCTGTGGCCTCCCAAGTAGCTGGGACTACAGGTGCCTGCCACAATGCCCAGCTACTTTTTTGTTGCAGTTTGGCTGGGGCTGGGTGAGAACCTGCCACCCTCAGTGTATGGGGCCAGCGCCCTACTCACTGAGCCACAGGCGCTACCCTGGTTTTGAGATTTTTTTAATAGTTTATATTTGTTTCACCAGCTTCTGAGGGTCAGGCCTAATTGCCTAGTAGAGTCCTTCCCCACCATTTTCACTGTTCTTCTTAAAGGTACTAATACAAAGTTCGTAAAACAGTCCTCATAAAAAACTCGAAAGGGAGTTTTTAGATTTGTTTTAGGGGAGGAAGTTGAAAAATTGAGTTTGCAACTGGCTGGGGATGGGAGAGCTATAGAATGAAGGATGGAGTATATGGGGGAAAAATCTTCGTGGTGGTCCAGGCTATGCCACACAACAGATACTCCAAGATCTCCATGGCTGAACACAGAAAAGTCTCTTTCTTACTCACACCAAGTCTACTGCAGGTGTGGTAGCTGTCCAGGGCAGCTTTCTCCCAACTGGGGGCTCAGGGATCTAAATCTCCTCATATTATGGCCCACCCGTCTTTGCTGAGGACACATCTTCCCTGTTCTGCTGTTTCCTTCCATGAGGAGAGAGCCCTACTGGTATAACAGTCTTGATCTCGGCTCAGCGCCTATAGCTCAACCGGCTAAGGCTCCAGCCACGTATACCTAAGGTGGCGGGTTCGAATCCCCAGCCCGGACCCGCCAAAACAACAATGACGGCTGCAACCAAATAGCCGGGCGTTGTGGCGGGCGCCTGTGGTCCCAGCTACCTGGGAGGCGGAGGCAGGAGACTTGCTTGAGCCCAGGAGTTGGAGGTTGCTGTGAGGTGTAATGCCACGGCACTCTACCCAGGGGGACAGCTTGAGGCTCTGTCTCAAAAAAAAAAAAAAGAAAAACAGTCTTGATCTCTCTCTACACATTTGCAGATCTGATTGATGAATGTGGAAGGAGCAATGAGACGTGTGTCACTCAGCACTGTCCCTCCCTTTCCCTGGGGAGCTGGCCCTCCTTCAGAGAGTATGTGTGCCGATACCTCGATCCTTGATTGTTACAAGAAGGGCCCTAACCCCAGGGTTGGGGGAGGATACAGCTTTTTAGCACTGCCTAAGGCTGCATTAAGCCTACCTAATTCTGGGGTTCAGTAGTAGGAAGCCCGCTCTCCTGTATCCAAACCCTTGTTACTACCCCTGCAACAACACAACTTACACAAAAGTACACTTTTTTTGTTCTGTAGGTTTATTCATCATCTAAGGCAGTGGTTCTCAATCCAGAGTATTTTTGCCTCCCAGCGCAACATTTGACAACAGTCTAGAGACATTTTAGATTGTCACAACTGGGGAGAGAGATGACTGTTCTGCAGGTAGCGGCTGGAGATGCTGCTAAACATCATACAAAGCTGAAGACAGCCCCCAGCAACAGAGAATTATCTGACCCCAAATGTCAATAGTGCTGAGGGTGAGAAACCCTGCTCTAAGGGGAACAAATTCCCATCTCAGAAAAATGACTTAGTCCAAGAAGTCCAAATGAGAGATGAATTGGACCAGGATGAGCACTGAAAACAAAGGAACCGGATCACCTCATCGCTGCCGTTATGCCTCCAGGCACTGCTGACCCGCTCTGGGACACGAAGAGTCCTTCACCAGGATGTGATGAGACTGCCACTAGCCCTCCAGCCCACGAGCCCTTCTACCCGGTTGACCGTCCCAGGCACAGTGATCTGGATGAGAAGCAAGCTGCTAGGGTCCTCTCCTCCAGAACCCTAAACCCAGCAGGGTGGTCCCTCCATTGTCCGCCCATCCACCCCAGGGTATGGCCAGAGGGTAGGACCAGGTGCACGGCCCACACCAGCACCTCAATTATTCCTCCTCCTCAACTCTCCACCTCTGGGCTCTACAGATCTGTTTCCAATGGTGTCCTCAAGCCTGGCCCCTGAGCTGGGTACGGGGCTGGTCGAGTGCAGGGGGAGGACTTTCCCATTAGACGCAATACTCTCTTTACATAAATATTTAATTATACCTCTCTTACTCTCCTGAAGTGGCAATCATAAATAACATGGCTTCTCATGCATTTAATTTTTTTAAATCACAATATAATGCATAAGCTATACTGCGGAGAAAAACAAAAGGAAACCAATTTATAACCAAATAACACATATTTCAATATGTCAATGCTCAGGCCCCATGACACTAGAAAACATAATGAAGTGCCAAAAGCCTGTCCCCGCTCATATTGTGATAAATAAGTTAGGATTTAATAAAAGTGGAAGATAGTAAATTATTCTGTATAAGAATAAAAATAAATAAAAGAGCAGATATATACTATCAAATGCTACAATAAATATTTTAATCTGTGAGGTTTTTTAAACTGCAAAAACGATTACTTTTGTAGTCTGTACATATAAAAGGAATGGACTGAGATCATGGTAACAAGGGTTTGTACCAAGGTGAATGGCTCTTCCTGCCCATTAAACATCAGCAGTGCCCCCCAATCATTGTGAAACCAAAACGCATCCCCCCCACATTACCAGAATCTCTCTCTCACACACACATACAATCTCTCCTTCCAGAACCACTGAGTTAATTAATGTTTTAAATATTAACCTGCCGAGGGGGTAAAATTCCAACTTTCCATTTGGAAGAATATATGCCAAAAGATTAACAATGATTTTCTAAGGCTGAAAGGGAATTACAGGAAACAGTCTCAATTCTTACTGTACTTATTTAGAGAAGGGTGGTCTCTAAACCCAGTTGGTCCCAAACTCCTGGCCTCAAGCGATCCTCGCACCTCAGCCTTTTAACTAGCTGTGACCACGGTGTAAGCCATCACATCGGGCCTTTTACATTTCTGTACTGTGTAAAATTTTGCTTACGACTTGTATTACTTTGTAATAAGAAAGAAAATGAAAGAAGGGAAGGAGAGAGGAAAGAGAGAGACAGGGAAGGAAGGGGAGAGAGAGAGAGAAAGAAAGAAAAAGAAAGAAAAAGCTATTTTGGAAAACAATGTGTCAGGGCTCCCTCTACTGTGCTTGTTTGTTTCGGTCCTTTTAATGAGGATTCAAATCTGTGGTGTGGTACATCTAGCACTTCACTCCTAGAAAACCAAAATACCAGAGGCTTGTGAAAATCCATTTGTAATTTTTTCCCAGCCAAATACACAAATTTCCTGAATTCTACTTACTAAGCTCTTGCGGTGCTGGGACCACAGGTTAAGTCTCCCTGGAAGCGGCAGAGTTTGGGAGAAGGAGGGGAAGGCATTTTGCTGTGCTGGCACCCCTGAGCCCTAACTAAAGGCAGAGGCCCATCCAGAGCATGCATGAGAGTTACCCGCGGCCCACCCCCTTCCTTTCCTCTTCCTGATCTCCTGCTCCTGGAGGAAATTAAAACCCTGAGTGGCTGGGAGAGGAGCTCACACTTCCCAGCTCAGTTACCACTGCATCTAGTGCCCAAGATGTGGCCTCTTCTCCTGCTGTGGGGCTGCCTGGTGCTCCCAGGTGAGATGGGAAATGCTGTCATGGGGGGGAAGGATGCGGGGCTCATACCCAGCCTCATCTATGGGTCTGCAGAGGAAGGGCCTCCTGAACCAACATTTCCTCCCCACCCCCAAGATGTGCACGTAGCTGTGACCATGTCCAGCCGCCTGGTCTTCCCAGGCTTCGTCCCACCCCGCCTATCCTCCAGCCTGCTTAGGTTTCAGAGGGGATCACACTTGCTGTTTCTGGAATGCAGAGCCAGATTTTCTCCCTGACCTGTAGGTTCCAGCCCTTTATGGCTGTGTGGCTGTGAAGAGTGGCTTAACCTCTCTGATCTTCATTTCCTTACCTTGCACCAACCCTGCAGTCAGACAAGACACCCCCATCTGGTTGCCCTGCTAAACTCCGCAAACATTTACTGAACCTCTTTCTTTACCTTTTAACACTTGAAATCAGGAGGCATGTTTGGGGTTTTTTTGCAGTTTTTGGCTGGGGCTGGGTTTGAACTGGCTACCTCTGGCATGTGAGGTCAGTGTCCTACTCCTTTGAGCCACAGGCACCGCCCCAGGATGCATGTTTTAATTGATGTCAGTTGTTCATTTGGCCCTGGTGTTTCCCAGAGGCACATAAAATTCTATTTTTACTTGTGACAGCATCTTAAATTCAATGAAATAGGGCATCATTATCATCTATAGATGAGAGAACTTAGAGGCCCAGAAAGGGCAAACATTTTCCCCCAGGATCACACAGCTGTGCAGTGCTAAGATTCAAGCTCCAGGCTGCCTAAGTCTAGAGCTCCGGCCACCCCTCCCTTACCTTGGGCCACCCACCTCAATTTTCCAATGTGCCAGGGTTAGGGAAACAGCAACAGCCCTGCCCCAAAGTCCCCCGGAGTGGGAGAAGAATACTGGCTCTTACAGGGCTGTCCCCAGAAAAGATGACCAAGGAAAGCCTTCCTTCCTCCCAGTAAAATGGAAGTTTCTGGTCCATACCCTGGTACTTGGATCCTGGGAATTCCAACCTCCACTCCCGCTGTAGTTTCAGGTCACAAAGCCCTGCAGGGTCCGAAGGAGATCAGAGGGTTTGAAGGTGGCACAGTAACCCTGCAGTGCTCCTACAGCGAAGAGCTGAAGGCCCACAGGAAGTATTGGTGCCGCGAGGTTGGGTTCGTGGTCTACCGCTGCTCCAGCACCATCTACGCAAGAAAAGGCCAGGAGACAACGCAGGGCAGAGTGTCCATCCATGACAGCCCCCAAGAGCTAGTGTTCACCGTGACCCTGCGGGACCTCACCCTGCAAGACACTGGGAAGTACTGGTGTGGGGTACAAAAAGTGGGCCGAGATGAGGCTGTCCTGATCTCCCTGTTAGTCTCTCCAGGTAACAAATGTCTCTCCTTCCCCTGGCTGTGGACCAGGGGGTGCTGGGGGAAGAGGGCGGGGCCATCAGACCTAATCTTGGTATTTACCTCTCAGGGCATCTTGATGACACAGTATCGTGGGCGTCAAGTGTGGGGCAATGTCTGGCACAGATGTATTCAGGACTATGCTCAGGGTTTTCCTCTCTGCCCAGATGTGCTGGAGGGAGAGCACCATGGGTTGGGACAAGATGGACATCTCAGGGAATAAAGATGACTCACTGCTTGGTGTGAGACATATTCCTAAGGCCCTCTGAGGCTGGACCAACCTACATCCCTATCCAGCCTGCAGCATCACCTAAGCCCTGGCCAACACTGGCTTCACCCTGCTTGTTGCCTCAGCTCCCCTTCTTGGCCACCTTGTCCACAGATCTTGAAGTCCCAGGACAGGTGCTGGGGTGCCTGAGAACCAGCTACTGGGTAGGATGCCTGAAGGAGAGGTTTGTTGAACTCAGCAGCACTGTGGGCAGGGGATGAAGAACCTCTCTGAGTGCCCAGAACCACACCTGGACCTACTGAGCTAAGGAGAAAGAAGCCAGGGAGAACCCAGGAGAGTTGGAGCCCAGCTGCTGGTCAGTGAGGGCAAGATAGGTTTTTGTAGCTCCATTTCACAGACGGGAACTGGGGCTTTGAAAGACTTAAATGATTTGCCCAAGGTGTCATGGCAGAAATTGGTGGAGCCAGTATTCAAATACAGGTCATTGCTGGCATTGGTGTCTGCTCATGAACTTAACCCCAACCCAGGCCCATCCATACTGCCAGATCCCCATCATCATTGGTCTTCATTTTAATTCAGGGAAACAAAGTTAAATTCACCAACCGATAACAGTAGCATCAAATGTGTCATTTTCACCCAGTTAGGATCAATTTTACCTAAATTTGAGGCTCTCCTTTGTTTTATATTTAGCTTCATTTATAATGATTTATTCATATATGATATATGCATTATCCCCCTCTGTCAGCTCCTATTGAACTCTGATGACAGTCGGGATATTGAAAATAAAGAAGACTCATGGTAGAGGTGTGTTGGTAAATGTTTAGCAACAGGTGAGGATGCTCTAATGTATAGTGTTTGCCAATTTCTGTGGTGTAAATGCTCCTGCCATGGCCAACTTCCTGGCAGCGACAGTTTAACAGCTGTCTCACAAGACTCCTGAAAAGTTAACAATTTGCTCTCATGAACCAGTGTGAGCCATCTCCAGCACACCGCTGTGTGTAGTGAAGCGTTAGAAGAATTTCTGGGAAGGTTAGAGCAAGACAAATGTGCCCACTATGATTTCTCTTATTCATTTTCGCCTGGAGGCTATAGGCAGTGAAATACAAGATAAAGAAGTATAAACATGGGAAAAGAAAAGATAAATACTCTTTATTTGCAAAAGATTCGATCACCTACTTAGAAAAATCCAAGGATAAACTGACATAGTATTATAGATTGAATTTCCCTAATCCACGAGTCCAAAATGCTGAACACCAACGTGATGCTCAAGGAAAGGCCCGTTGGAGCATTTCAGACACCAGATTTCTGGATTGGAGTTGTTAAACCAGCAAATACAATGCAAATATTTTAAAACCAAAACAAAATTTAAAATCCACATCCATGTGTGAACCCAAGTAATTTGGATAAGGAATATTTAGCCTGGTAAATAGAGAATGGTGGAGAGAGGTGGAGAGTCAAGGATGGCACATAGTCAGAAAGACCAAGTAAACGAGTAATGGCAGTGTAATTGCACATTAGCATGGGTGGAGGTGTGCTCAAAGGAGAAAGGGATTTGCTCCTCTGGGGAAGAGATTATGGAGAAGTTGACTTTTGAGCTAGTACTAAAGGCCAGAAGTATGTTAGGCAGAGATGGAAAGGAAAGGTGTCACACACAGAGGAACAGCATGTCGAAGGCATGGAGGCAGGAGGCTCGCTTAATAGAGAATAGAGGGCAATGCTGCATGGCTGGAGCATTGATGGGGAGAGAGGTGAGGCTGACAAGGTGCTTTGAAGTCTGAGTTTTAAAGGCTTTGAAAGTCCTGCTGAAAAGTTTGAACTTGGGCATACAGGCAATGGGAGCCACCAACTATTCTGAAGCAGGGAGTGATGGGATAGGACATGGACTTTAGAGACAAAGTGGCACCAGTGTGATGGGAGACATGGAAGAGACAGTCTGAGAGTGGGGGTAGGAGCTGAGGGTCTGAGCTAAGTGGGAGGCCAAGGGGACCGCAGGAGGGGAAGACCCCGGATCAGCTGGGATCTGCACCATGTCTCCTGGTTGTGAGACATGGGGTGAGAAGATGACGGTGCTCTGTGCTGAAGTCAGCGGTGGGAATGCTGCTGGCTCCCCACCCCCCAGGAAGGAAAAGCAAGGTTCAGAGCAGGGACTCACACAGCCCCTGAGAACACCTTCTCCTTTCCTCTAGGGCCCTGCTGTCCTCCCTCCCCCTCTCCTCCCTTCCAGCCTCTGACTACAAGGAGCCTGCAGCCCAAGGCAAAAGTTTGGCAAACCCAGGCCCCAGGATTGAGTGAGTGAATGGGTCTTCTGTTCCTCCTCCACCCTATTTATGGAAACATCTGATGAGGGCCTACCTGGTCCAGCCACTGTGTTTTATGATGCCTGGCAGCTGGATTGTCCAGCTATGGGATTGGAGGCTCAGTTGTCATTTGCTCAAAGTCACCTGGGCAGCAGCAGAGCCCTGACTCCAAAGCTCATGTTCTGTCTGCTCCATCCACAGTCTAAGGGCCAAGCTAGAAAGCCAGGCCTTAGGCACTGGTCACTAAACTCATCCCTGTCACCCTACCCTGCCTATCCCATGGCTGTTGAAGGAGTGTGGGATGGGGGGGGTGGGGATAGGCATCCGTGGTAATAGGAGGGAACAGGGGGACCTGTCCTTCTGGTGAGGGAGGACATGACAGTTGGTCAGGACTGTAGGAGGAGGGCAAGAAGGTATCTACTGGGTCGTGGATGTGGGGGTGGGGTGTGATTGTACCTCTCCACAGAGGAGACAGGCCATGGGCACAAAAAGACTGAACACTATGCACAAGTGTGGCTTGTGCCTGATATATGATCTGTTTCTCCAAATGGCTTCAGCTGGACCTGTTTGCTTACTGAGTTGTCCTTTAGCTGGGGATGTCCTGAGAAATTGGTCCTGAGGAAGCTAGGGCCAGGGGTCAGAAGTCAGAGGTCTGAGGTCTGGGGATGCTGGGACTCAAGGGTCGGAGAGGTGCTGAGCCATTGCTTTTGGAATTGTAGCTTCTCCTGGTCTCTACCCGACAATCACCACAGCCAAGCAGAGGAAGACAGGGACTTCCCTGTACGGGCACACAGGGACCTCTCCGTATGCAGGGACCTCTCCTCACGCAGGGACCTCTCCTCACGCAGCGACCTCTCCTCATGCAGGGACTTCTCATGCAGAGAGCTCCTACCCAACCACGCAGCTGGACTCCATCTCGGCAAAGGGCACCCATCCTGTTCCCAGCAGCAGTCGCTCCAAGCCCAGGTGAGCTCCAGGCAAACAAGGTCACCTTTCAGTCCATCACTAAACCATAGGTGTCTTTGAGCAAATAAGAACGCAACACCCCTCCTTCCGAGCAAACACATCCTCTCGTCCTGGCCACAGCCTGCAGCACAGAGAGCAGATTTCAGCCCCCATTCACCACACATAGGGCCCTTGAGCAGTGGATGACATGCACCACAGGAACCAGCAGCCCAGCTGCCCTGAGCATGAGCCTGCTCAAGGACAAGGTCCACCAAGACCACAGTCCCCACTTCACTCCCTGCCCCACCCTCAGGGATAGCCACTGAGTTCAGTAGCTTTTGCCTGTACACTTTGCCCTGAGCCCTGTGTCCAGCATGAAAATATGGAATCCAAAGGAAAGAATATTTTTTGCTTACCCAACTGGAGTCCCAGCCTGAAGGATTGGCTCTTGGGGATTAAAACTGCACTCCGTTACTGACATCCAGGTAATTGCCAGCCTGTGCAGACCCAGCAGAAAGCGAAGCCAATGCTGGACGGTCAGCAATGCGGGGGAGGGGCCCTTCCACACCTTCCTGGTCAATCAGGGTTGACCAGGCATTGGGGCCCTGCACCCTCTGATCTCCC